CTTTATAAAGTTACTTTATTCTCATAATGACTTTATAAAGTTACTTTATTCTCATAATGACTTTATAAAGTTACTTTATTCTCATAATGACTTTATAAAGTTACTTTATTCTCATAATGACTTTATAAAGTTACTTTATTCTCATAATGTATTTCTCTAGCCTGGCCCTAGTACTGCGTGCTACACATCCTCTCGAAGCCTCAGAGAGATACTCACATCCCTGGCAGCTTTGGGGTCTGACACGCATGAGAAGGTGATGTCACACATGGAGGCCACCTCTGCAGGGGTCCGGCCTAACCTGGCCCCCTCCTGGATGAACAGGTCGCACTGAAGCACAGCAGAGGACGGATCAGGATCAGACGGGTCCATTCAGCACTTCGTAGCAAATCCTGTTCTAAACATTTTACTGGACCATCAAAATACATTTGATTATTTACCAACATTCTTAGAAGTTAACATTAGCCACGCTAGGCTGTTTGCCAGCTAACGCCAACTACTCCAGATCTGATGTGCCGTGGTTAACATTAAAAAAACGTATCATTTCGTTTCAATCGTAGCAACTCTGTTCGCAGTCAATCTCCCAAAGCTACAGATCTGATGATGTTTTACCGAGAGGAGGGACTGGAGAGCAGCGGCAGAGCGAGGAAAACACAGACTGAAACGCTCTGAACGCAGTTACTGTTAGCTGAAGTAGATCAGCGGAAAGGGGGAAAAAGCAGAAATTGCCCAAAGTATATGTTGACATGTCCACCCCAGTCCTTCAGAAAGTTACGCCAGTGCATTTCACCCACTATCGTTATTCATCTACCACAATGGAAACTCGGTTTAGCTTCAATCACACCTTTAACAGCTGCCTCAATATAATAATGCACTATTTTTCAACTCAGCATATTGTAAAAAAATAAATAAATCCTTCATGTGATGAAAACACCTCAGGTGTTTAAAGAAATGGCTGCTTATTAATTAATTGTTGGTAGATTGAAACATCCGTCCTCTTTAGCTTATTAAATGATAATTTGCATCTGCATTTAAAAATAAGCCATTGAACATTTACTTGAAAGAGTCAAAACATTGTATCTTATTCTGCATGCTTTCTTTGAAATCTATTTCTTTAACATTTAGAACCTAAAGAAAAAACAACACTCTAAGCTTTAATTGTAAAAAGATGCTGAACAATCTGAGCTTTTGGCTTCAGTTCCAGTGCATCTCTGCTCCCATTCCTTTCAATCAGACATCAAACCCAGGCCTGCTCACCAGTTGTTGCTAAATTCTGCTGTGTTCATCTAAAAGCAGGAGGAGATGCAGACGCATCTCTTGGGCTTCTGCCGTACCTTTTCTGCAGTGCGATTCCACACGGTGACGACGTGGCCCATTTTCAACAGGTTGGAAACGATGCCGCTGCCCATGAGGCCGAGGCCCAGGAAGCCTATCCTGCAGGGTGAGACCATGGTTGATATAAACCGTACGGAGCAGGCGTGGAAGCGGTCTGAAAATGAGAGCGAACCTTTTATCTGTGGGCGTGATGCTGCCGTTGATGGCTGTGCTGTCTGCTGCTTGGATAGAAGTGGAACCTGTGACCTGCGCCATGAAAGCACCCGTCAATACCGCAGTGAAGAAGAGCTCCACTTACTTCCTGCGGGAAATTCAACACCTCCTTTACCTCTTCGACGATTTTCAGACGCTTGCTGATGGGCTCCATGGATGACGCTGGCTGTGGGGAAAAAAACAAAACAGAGCTGTTCATATATTCATGTAGAACATCTCTTTGTAGAGTAAAGGTGTCAAAGTTCCCCCTGATCTTTGGATTTTATAGAATGATGTGGAACAGCCTCCTCAGGAGCATTTGGATGAACTTCAACTCTCTTTGATTCAGCGGCTAACACGGCATAATGTTACGCTAAATGACGGGGCTGGCA